ACAGTTTGAGGCCTGTTTTTTTTTGGGGGGGGGGGGGGTGTATCTGGTACATGAGTAAGGTATAGCAGAACTACTGTGCTTCCTAGGTAAGCCGACATTTTTGGGCACAAACTTCGCTAGCTCACCATCCCACCTCCCTCCTGCTCTTCTTCCCAAGAATGCAGTCTCTCTCAAATAGAAAGGAACCACTGCTCAGAAAGTACTTTTCAAAGTCAGTCAGTAGTATGGTCATTTTGTAAATAAAGAAAAAGCATCCATGTAACAGGGGCACCAGCTGTCTATATGTCATTTTTCCAGGCACTGTGCCAAAACATGAGATTGTTGGAGCAAGTGTGCTATATCAGAACAATTTTCAAAGTCGATTACAATCTCAAAGGGCTTTAGATATGTTAGTTAAGCCTAATAATCTGCAGAGTTAGTATCGCTATTCCCACTTCCCAGTTAGAGAAACTCAGGTTCCAAAAAGTTAGGTACATGGAAGATACTTCAGTTTAGTACTGTAAGCAGGACTCTAATAGACACAGATCTGGCCCCAGTACAGACCTTATAGAACAAATGGAATTATAATATTTTATACCAGCTGAGGCTCTGGCCTATGGGCTCCAATCCCTATTTTGCAGTTGACTTGTGCCAACTGGAGCAATTCATTGATCACCTAAGGCACTTCTCTTGGAAAGAGGGAGGTAACATTCTTTATAGGCCTGGAGAAAATTTGCCCATTACCTACTAGCTGCTAAAAACAGTGTCCTACTATTCTTTCCCAAAAGTATATCTTCAAAAAGGCAACCTTCTACAATATAGGAATAATTTGTTTATGTATTCTATTTAATAGTTCCACTAACAACCAACATACCATGCAATCCATTAAAAAAAAATGTAACTACTTTTCACACAAGCGCCTTAATTCCAGATGTATACAATTAAGTAATTCACATCCACCTCCAATCCCCAACTCTTATCCAGCACAAACACTACCACATACCTATCTGAAGAAGATCTACATAAGAGACTAAACCTACTACTACTTCAAGTGTCACTACTACTACTGAAATAGTCAATGTCATCTAGAGGCACACAAGCAAGCTAAGATACCAGAAGCAGTCTAGCAGTAGCAATACAGAACTCAGCCAGAGCTTCACAGAAGGATAAAATACCTTGCATCAAGTTCACTGCTCCTAAAGCTAGATTGTTTCCAGTACCTGAGCTAGGTTGTTTAAAGCACCTCTTCTACACTGTAAACCAGTCCATACAAGCATTAGATGGTGGGATGCCCTGCTCTCCCTGCCCCTGCTGAGAGCAAAGCCTCCCATTTCTATCCTGAATGTTGTCTTAGAAGGCATCTGAAAAAATCTCTCTCCCCACAACTGGGAAATGCCACAGAGAAGAACACAAGCACACTGTCCCACCTTTCAGCCCTACCCCATCCCAGAGTTGTCTGCCGTAACAGCCAGGTGGATCCCTGCCTCTGTGTCAAGCTTCCTCTCAGCTGCCGTGGAAGAGGAAGGTTAATCAAATCTACTATTCAGTCCTTCATTACTGGTTCTTCCATCATACTGAGTAGTTTCAAATACTGCAGAATTCCAATTTTTACTCTGGGTCTTGGGACCTGATCTTGTTCATGTCCGTTTCACTGATACCCATGGGGTTCTGAAAAGCAACAGTGAAATCAGACAGGTCTGGTTGAGAGCTTTCAGGTCAGTTGAGAAAGCTCTGATCTGAACAGAGATCACGTCACTAATCTTATCTACCTATAGTCTCTAAAGGCAGTCTTGTATCAGTTTACTCTATTCATGATTAAGTCATTCTTGTAACAGCCATAAAGACTCTAGTGTTGAAAACATATTGTAGCCTTGATGGTCTAGGAAATATGCAAAGATTTTTGTGGGTGATCTCTCTTCACCAACTATGACTAACTGCACAGTTGAAACAGATGAGCTTTCAAATCCAGTGCATTCTTCCTCAAGTCCTAAAGGTACTTTAGGTTGTTGTGAATTTTTAAATATACTCCATTAAACAAAAAACATGTGGGGGGTGGGGAGGATTAACTCAAGTCCCTGATTTCAAGATATTTAAATAATTGATCCTGATCTTGTTTTGCAATTTTTTAATTATTTTCTTAGAGGGAAAAAAGGGTCAGGCTCATTAGTACCAAATTATAAGAGCCATTCTTGCTAACCAAGAAGATAAATCACATTTACTTTTATTAAACTACATAATTGCTTAAATATTTTTATATTAAAAGTATATAAAAATTAGAATAAACATGACAACAGTGAAATAAAATTTCTTCATTATTTTTACTCATAATTAGTTTCAAGCTGCATTTTAGATGGAAACAAGAACCAAATAAAAAGAATATGCACACCATTTAAAATTTACTTTTTATTCTAGTTGAATAAAGCTACTTTAATAATGCACCTTACATATAAAGGAAAAGAGCTCATCAAAATCTTCTACAGTTAAAACAAAAAAGATTTAAACACAGCAACTATTATGCTTAGTTAATAATGCTAACCTTGTGGTTAGGGAAGTCCATTAGGAAGGGAGAAATCTGGGAAGGGCATAACTAATGAATTTAATGCCATGGGCAAAACTCCACTGACTTGAGGGTGCAGGGAAGTGGGGGGGAAAAGGAGTGAAAGAGGGGAGCCAGGGGGAAGAAACATTTCTGTTCATCTTATACCTGTTGACAATCTGAGCTGGTCTGGCAGCTATTCTCAATATCTGTGACCAAGAGCATCCCAGCCTTGCAGCTCTCTGCCTGGGGTAGTTTTGGTTCCAGCAACTTCAGAACTTCATGCTTTCCTGCAAAGGACAAATCAGTCCACTTTTTTCTCTCAGATATGCCAAATAAGTAACCCAATATGACAACTAAACTCAGAAGTGCTCAGTCTTTGCAATACAAGATTAACTGATCCTGTCTATATTTTCAGAAGTTATAGCTAGTTTTTGGCTAATGCAATAAGCCAAAATTTTGCCCAGTTAGTCGCATATTTAAGGGGATAGATAACAAATGGTTCTGTCCTATAGAAAAGTATTCACAGATTTTAGTTATTTGTATAGTTGATATGCAATTAACCAAATTCTACTGTATTAGGCACCCATAGTTTTCACCAATTTCAGTAAAGACAGAGGTCAATATGCCTGTGGAGAAAAATCAGGTTGGTTATTCAGCTGCCAAACCACAGCAACTGAATGTTCCCCCTAAGGGGGGGGGGGGGGGGGGGGGGGGGGGGGGGGGGGGGGGGACAGAAGACCTCTGTTCAATCTGGGCTATTAGAAAGTCAGTATTTCTACTTGGAACATT